ACACTCGATTACACCTTGATTGCGGTGGATTCAATCGGTCTCCAGTGATTCTTTGAGTGTCAGTCAAGTGAACCTAAGATACTAAATTAACACAGAGGACAATTATTTGAAGAGAAGGTGAGGACGAGGTCGGGAGCCATCTGGCCCATTTCCAGGCACCGATTTTCACCTCTACACAAGGCTTAACTATACAGACCAGTGAACAGTGATAACTAAAGTGTCTTTGGGGTCATCAAGTGGGAACCTCCTTTCACCAGTGTTTCATCTAGTTGGTCCCACGACACCTCCAGGAGGCTAGACAGTGATCTCTGGCGTCCCAGAGACACTCCCCTAATGCCAGGTCTCACTGGTCCCTGCACCAACCCAACAACCTCCTTTACCTAACTTACACATGGCTTTCTCAGCCCAAACACCACTGCCACCTTCAACAAATCCAGGCTCCGTTCATGCGAGCTCCAGGTAGAGACAGTGCCAATACTACCTTTCCTAGCACATTCACCATATTCTGTTTCACACGCTACATAGCATAACTCCAATATGAGCTAAAGTTTTTTTTCTGTTTCTTTTTAAAGATATTTTTAAGGGCATTTTTAGCCTTTATTTGATAGGACAGTCAAGCGTGAAGGGGGGAGAGAGAGAGAAGGAGTGACATGCAGCAAAGGGCCACAGGCTGGAGTCGAACCCGGGCCACTGCAGCAACAGCCTTGTACATGGGGCACCTGCTCTACCACTAAGCCACCGACGCCCCAATATAAGCTAAAGTTAAAGGAGATAGAGAAGATAAACTCACAGGATCGGCAAACACACTCACCTTGCAGCATGGTCTCAAACAAAAGGGATTCAAATAGACCACTCCCACACTTAAATAAACTTCCTCTTCCTGGATTTTCTCCTGAGAGGATTGATTGGTGGATCTCTCCACCTGATTTCAAGGAGTTATGTACCCTGCTTAGTAGTTCCCTCTGCTGGCCCCCAACTGACATTATTCGTCCTCATCCAAATCCACTGACTAACTCTGGCTGCTTCATCTGACATTTCCTTCACTGTCTTCCTCAAACTCTGTCCCGGCACTCCGAGTTCCCCCAGGAGTGAGACAGCTGATTTCGCTATGAATCCCCTACACCCCACTTCCACTGGACAAATCCTAGTTTTCCATCCTTGCTCCTCACCTTCTGCTCCTAAGTCTGCATATCTAAGCTTTTTTCTTTCATAGGCTTCTTCCACTGAGTTTTCCAAAGGAACTGTCAGCTCAGTGAAATAAACTTTCCGTTGACTCACTGACCACAAACTATGTCAGGCCTCTGCTTGGTACAAACTATTTCCTGGGGAACAAGATTTCCCCCTAAATCTACTTGCATTTCCCAATCACACGCACCTTCTAGGCGGCCACACCCTTGCCTTCTTACTAACTTATCCCTTCTGTATTTCCCCCCCCTCACGGACAAACTGAATTGCTAAACTCCTATTCTTAAAACCTTCTGAATTTACCTGTCTTCGTTTCCCTTCGATGCCTGCAGCTAAACTTTACAACACCTGGTTTTGTCGCCATGTATATCAGCCTTGTGACAAGCTAACTTTACAGCCTGACAAAATATGCTTTAAGGTTGCGGTACCTGAACACAATGGGCATGATGGGTCCCCATTTACCCACAGTTTTAGGTTCTGGGGAGTTGGTAACACATCGTATGTAGCCCCTACCAGGAATCTAATACGATTCTGCTCCATACTCGACAGGTCCCTCCATCTAAGCTTCCTCTTCTCTACACTTTCCCAATTCAACCACTGTCCCTGCTTAGCCCGGGCCACTACCTTTGCACCCCTTAATATCTCCTCCTGTCTACCTATCTGTTCCACAACCAGCTTTCTTTTATCTTTGAGACCTGCTTTATTCCATACCGGTTTGCCTGAGCCAAGCCCCAGGCCTCCCCGGCCAAACTGAACATTACCTACAATCTCTGCATGCCTAAGAGCTGCCTCTGCCTCCTGAACTGCCCATCTTGGGTTCCACTTCCTCCCCTTGGTTGGATTCGCAGTACGCCTTCTGACGCGTCAGTTTGTTTCTATCAAAGTTAGACATCGCATGCAGGAGTGACTTGGCATATCCTTGATACAGTGCTGGAATGACATATTTCACATTTTGTATCACTTCCTCTTTCCACTAGAGGGAGTTGGAGAGCGCACTAATTATACATCATGTTTTTATACATCAAATATACACCACAGCATGTAACTTTCAGATAAATCGAAAGATAAGTGTTTGATGAGACCTACTTCCTGTTGCCACTAGGTTGCACTATGAGTATAAGGAAATATGGTAATGAAAATGTGTTCAGGGCAGGATTAATATGAATCATGTGAAGTTTGGTGGAGACTGGACCATTTATCACAAAGCTACAGCAATTTCGTTTTTCATGGCAAGACCTCAAGATTCAATGCTCGGTAGCGAGCGCGCCATTCAACATTGGGCAAATCCTGTGATAACTTTTGGTCACAACGTAGTCACGCTTACATACACCAAGTTTGGAGCCAATCTGATTAAATCTGTAGGACAAGTTTGTTAATTTAGGACCCCTGCAAATGGGCAAGTTTTGACAAGATATTCCCACGTGGAGTCAAGTTACAGCAACGCTTATCATCACAGCGAAACATCAAAGTTCGCCGCCACGCCCTTCAACAAAAACTCAGTTTCCACAATAAAGCATCATCAACGTCTTATGGCTTTTTTCACCAAGTTTGAGGTGGATCTGGTCAATTCTGTAGGAGATGTACATTAAAGACTAAAACATGACATTTCCTGTTGCCAGTAGGGGGCGCTATGTTTATCTCTAATTATTGACATGTAGATGTATTCAGGGCGGGACTGTCATCAATCCTGTGAAGTTTGGGCAAGATTGGACCATGTATGCTGGAGAAATTCAAAATGGCCGACTTCCTGTTGGGTTTAGAGCATGTCTCCAAGAGGCTTTTTTTTTTTACGTCTCTCAGAGCGTTACATAAGCCTGCCAAATTTCATACATGTAGGTTAAACTAGCTTCAGGGGCTGTTTCCTCAAACTTTTGTAGGGGGCGCTACTCAGCCATTTTTTGGAACCCGCGCACAAGACCCTTAGAATATCAAATTTTTCACCAGTCCTGATATATCTGCAAAGTTTCATGAGTTTTCAGGTATGTTAAGCCTCCCAAAAAGGCAATTCATTTGGAGGAATAATAATAATTAAAGCTGCAAGCAGCGATGAACGGGCCCTCGCAGTCCACGTGCGTCGGGGCATGCTGCCGTCGGGGGGCATGCACCTAGAAGTCTTGTCAGCTGTAATAAATAAAAAAATAAAAGTTATCTCTTACTTACATTTCCAGTATACAGGTAGGCACCCAACCCACGTATGTATTTTTCCAAAAAGTAGAACCTGAATACATGCCCAATAGTTCAAGGTCTTCTGACTCTTTAAAAGTTGACATGGTGTCTCTAGCTCAAAGTATGAGGGACAAGAAGAGGTTGAAAGTCAATGAGTTTTGAAGAGGTTTTGAAGATTTTCCAATTTACTTCAATTCACACTAATTAGACTGCCACCAGAGTGCCACGTATTGGCCGATTTGCACCGAATTTTGCACAAACCCTCATCAGGCCATGGAACACAATTAGCAAAAGTGTTGTGGTAATCGGACTGTATTTGGTCAAGATATGAAAGAATGTCTGTTTTGAACACAATGTGCAGGAATTTGTTGTTTTATATTTTGGCCATTTTTTGGACGATCAAAATTCTTTTGATAAGTTTTTGACAGGAGAGTTGACAGATGCTACATGCAAAGTTTGGTGCAAATCGGTCAAATCGCCTAAGAGGAGTTCGAAAAAGTACATTTTTCATTTGTGGTGATTTTGCGAATGGAAAGTTACCACGAAAGTGGGCGTGGCTTACACCACACAATTCAGCTGAATTCAGAGAACACGTAAATAGAAGGTTCAATGTGCGACATATTATGTGGGAGTTATAAGCCAAAAACGCTTTTGCATTGAAAATAGCGCCACCTGTTGGTCATTTCTGGTGTGTGAGTTACAGGGGCCAGTCTATACCACCCCTATCAATTTTATTTCCATGATTGTTATGGTGTTGGCACAGTGCAAAATATTAAATTAGATGGCCACCAGAGCGCCACCTAGTGGCGGATCGGTAAGTCCTTCGTCAGATATCCTCAGGAGGGCATTGACAATAATTATACCAAGTTTCGTGATAATAAGCCCAACCAATGTTGAGATATAAAATACTTCAATTTAAAGAGCGCCACATTGTGGTCATCACCCGAAATTTTGCACAGAGCCTCAGAGGCTCATGGGGAAGGGGAAACCTGAGTTTCATGTCATTCGGATACAGCAATGTGGAGATATGCAGCACTTCCTCTTTAGAACTAAATCTGCAGGAAGTTGCTATTTAATAACTTGAGTATTGTTTGGAATATCGAAATTTTTTTAATAACTTTTTGTTGGGAGGGTCCACAGATGCTGTGTGCAAAGTTTCATGCCAATCGGTGAAATTGCCTGGTAGGAGTTCGAAAAAGTAGGTTTGCGACATTTTGCGAATTTGCGGAAAAAAATGGTAGGCAGAAATGGGCATGGCCTATACCACGAGATTAAGGACAATTCACTGAACGCGTGGATAAGGTTTTTGAATATGCGACAAAGTATATGGGAGTTATGAGCCAAAACGCACTTTTCTTAATAATAGCGCCTCCTAGTGGTGGAAATTTAGGACGACAATAGATTATAAAATTTTTTGCCAGGTGTGACTCATATTCCAAGTTTGGTGAGTTTTGGGGTATGTTCAGGCAGTGAAAAATGTGATCATTTTGGCGGAAGGAAAAAAAATAAATAAAAAATTAAAGCTGCAAGCAGCGATGAACGGGCCCTCGCAGTCCACGTGCGTCGGGGCATGCTGCCGTCGGGGGGCCTGCACCTAGATGTCTTTTCAGCTGTAATAAATAAAAAAGTAAACGTTATCTCTTACTCACATTTCCAGTATACAGGTAGGCACCCCACTGTCGGACTCGAGGCTCGTCCTACTCTCCAGCGTGCTATGTGTGAGCTCAGTCCTGCGTGTTCTATAATGAAGCAATAGGAGAAGATATTCGGTCTCAGATAATGTAGTTTATTAAGCAGTAAAGGAATAAAATTACAGAGCTCTGGGTCTCAGCTTCTTTCCCTGACAAGCAACAAAAGTTTGCCAGTTCACGAAGTCTGACTGACTATCTCTTCCTGACCCAGTGTATTTAAGCGTCACGAGTCAATGTGCACGCGAGGCATTGTCCTCTTCTCATTGGCGGTTCTACTTCTTCCTTCACCACACCACGCCCCTGCCTCGTGTTAATCTGACTCCTTCCCGCTGACGGTGGGGGCGTGGTTACTGTTTTGAAAGACAAGAGAACAACACAACTCCCTACACGTGCTGTACCTTACTATCTGTACATCACTTTCTATTCTTTTTACCATATATGAAACTAATTATCTAAGCATTGCGGTATGTGCTCCTCAGACTTCATGTCTCTTCCTCTCCTGTACTTCTCCACTTCTGCAAAGCAAACACATTCAGATCAGCTGAAATCATCTCAGTATTCTCATTGTTCACACATCTAAAACCTATATAGTAAAACACATAAAATCATTCTATTCCCAACAGTCCCCCTTTTGGCCTCATAGGACTGAGGCCACTTTTTTTTCAGTCCCAATGTATCCAGGTCCCCCTTTTTAGGTCTTGTGATTACTGCACTTTTTGTTTCTTTTGAAACAAAAAGTTATCACTCCCCCTTTTGGTCTCATACACATGAGACCACTCACACCTTGTCTTCTCCTGAGTCTGAGTCCAAATCTGAATCAGTAGGCGGCCCTCCTAACAGGGTGGCCGTCTCCATTTGAGTCATCTGATATGGTGGGGGCTGTGGATGTTTTCTCTCCACAGCTGACACTATGATTCTTTCACAGAGGGACCGGATACATGGGATACAACAACAACCACATAATGCTGACACCGCGAGCATTCCCAACAGAGACAAGAATACCAATACCACTAAATCTTTCCACTTACCGAACCACTACTCGAAGATACCACCCAGGGGTTTATCAATACCTGAGTGTTCATGCATTTCCTCAGAGAGCGTGCGCAGCCCTTCTAGCCCCTTAGTTACTGACTCGTCTGGAGCTGTGTTATTTGGGATGAAGGTGCAGCAGAGGACCTGGAACATAGAGCAGACACCCCCTTTCTCCGCCAAAAGCATGTCTAACGCAATTCGATTCTGTACTGTCATCAGGGAGGTGGCTGCCAGTTGTTCAGAGAGTCCCCCAACTGCGTCCCTAGTGCTGTTGGCCAGTCTAAGAACATTGTAATACACATAATTAATTCTGTCCACATTTTTGTTAGGGGTGATGGGAAACAGTGCAGCTAGTATGGGTATGTTTTCAAAACCAGCGGCCACTTGGTCAGCCAATTTGTACTGGTCTGGGACCCCACGAGGAACACCTATGGCGTCCATATATGTGGTTTTTCCCTGGCTCATATCAAATGCATTTCTTTTCTGTCTACCGGAGTTGGTCTGGGTTGGTCTCCCTCATCCCTAACAGGACCAGGGGTACAGCCAGTCGGACCAGTGCACACGTACCAACCCAGGAGGATGGCAGGGACAAGTGGAGGGTCTTATCTCCACAGTACCAGAACAGATCCCCTCTAGCCTGAACCATGCTGCTGGGGTTCTGCCACGTACTCACATTCAGTGTTCTCTGGCACCAGTCAACTTGCATCTGTCCCATATCAGTTACTACCCCGGTGGAGAGGTTCCTATGGAAACAAGTGTAATTGGCGATTCTGGGACTAAACATTGGTGGGATGGTGTGATTCTTTGTGGGCGGAAACAGAGAACTCAGAGTTTTACAGCCGTCCGGATCAGGATGCATGGTCATATTTATCATACAGTTAAAACCAGTAGGGTCTGTGTCAGGACACAAAGGGGCTGGAGTGGTGAACAGCATAGGTCTAGAGGATGAGCATACAATGCAATTTGACATGTTCATGGATTCCGCTGTCGCCGCCACCCAGTCTAATCATAGGTTTTTGTCTCAATAGCCTGTGGCCAATCTGACTACGTCACTGCGGGTCAATTTAGAGTAGTCAATGTTTATCACGCCTGTGTTCTGTTGGGGTTCAGGTTTCGGTGTGCCGTCGGTAGCCGCCGGAGCGGTCTTGTTTGGGGGAGGAGGATTCAACAGTGTTAATTTAATCAGTCCCATAGTGTCTGTACCTGGGTGATCTACACCTAGGATGAAATAAGCTGTCCTGTTTGTTGTGCTACAGAGACCGTGTGGGAGAGGGTTCTGTGTCAGGTTGTACACACTGAGTAATATTGGGTTCTGCTTATGTGAGCCTTGGAGTGGTTGGTACTGTTGTCTTTGCAATTTCACCCTGTCCCTGATACACAGTTTTCCTTGCTCACATGGCCTGGGCGTCCAAGTCACACCAGTCCACGTGAGCACGAAATTCCAGGTTGGACACCACCTGCTTTTATGCGTTAGCATATATAAATACACATCGTACCCCCTCCAATTTGGATCCTTTCCTTTACAGTCTATTACGGAACACAAGTCAAACTGGAACCCTGTACTTTGCCCCATGATGTATGTCAATTCTACTCCACCATACTTAGCTATGCAGGAGTCTGACGTTCCACTCCCTGGTGCGTTTCTCCTGGTTCGGTTTCGTGGAGGTTCTACAGCTTTGTCTCTGAGGGAAGACTCATAATACAACAGAGGTAAAACAATAACACAGGTTAACACAACAACTCCCAACACACACCACTTATGGTGGCGTGGTTCTAATCCCAACAATTTCATTTCTTTATTTTGTATTGCAAAAAGGTAAATATAAACGTGTAAAATATAAGAGTAAATATGGAGTGTAAATGTGCTGCAAGCGAGTCTTTCTTGTATCCTGGCTTTATATTACTCAAACGTACTCTGGGCAAAGTGTTGCTTCAAAGGAGCTTCAAACCTTCACATTGATCACAGGATATCTCTTCCGCACTTATGCTAAGCTAAATGAATAAATGTCTGTGTGAGTAAGCTGTGTGTGTGGTTTTTTTTTTTTTTTAATCTTTAGTGTCTCTTATGTCCTCCAGTGTTCGGGCAGGTGTCTCTGCCACTGCACACTGACTCCAGTGATACCATGTGTCACCTTTTCCCTGTAGTTTGACGGCGTGGGACGTCCGTTCCACGACTTTGTAGGGACCAGTCCACCTTGGCTCTGACCACTTTCGTTTGATCACCTTGAGCAGGACCCACTCTGATGTTGGGGGTTCTTTCACTTCTGCTCCCTCCTGAGCTGTGGTCACCTGTTTGGAGAAAGCTGACACCAATGCTGTTAGTTGGTCATAATACGGTTTGTATTGCATAGGGCTTTCTATTTCTTCTGTAGTTTGGATCCCAGCTCCCGGTCCCGGGAACTGGTGTCCTGTTTTTAGTTCATATGGCGTGAACCCCGTCAATGAGTTCACTGAACTCCTGATTGACATTAGAGCTAGGGGTAGAGCATCTACCCAGCTCATTTTAGTCTGAGCACAGATTTTGCCTATTTTTCCCTTAATAGACTGGTTCATCCTTTCCACCTTGCCCTGTGACTGAGGATGATAGACTGTGCCAAATGTGTGTTTTAGCCCCAATGCCTTCTCTACCTGCTGTAGGTCTTTGTTTTTAAAGTGAGTCCCGTTATCAGATCTGATTCGTTTGGGGAACCCGTGCCTGGGGATATATTGATTTATCAGAAATTTGATTACTGTCTTTGCATCCTCTGATTTGGCAGGTATGGCTTCTGGCCAGCCGGTGTATGCATCCACCGCCACCAGAAGGTACCTGTGTCCTCCCACTCTTTCTATCATGTCTGTATAGTCAATGATGACCTCTTGACCTGGGAGTTTAGGGAGAGGAAATTTCCCCTGGTGTGGTTTCACTGTGGGTCTGACATTATATTCTGTACATATTTTACATTCTCTGATGTGATTCTCAATCATGGCTGGCAGAAAAGGGTGCCACCAATGAGTGAGACCTCGCACCATTTGCATCTTTCCACAATGAGTCATGCCGTGAGCCTCCTGGAGGACTGATTTCATCAGCCCTGGGGGTAACACTGGTCTTCCGTCCGGAGACCTCCACACACCCTCTGTTCTCACTGCTCCTCTCTCTTTCCAGACTGTAAGCTCCTGTGGAGAAGCTTTCTGCTGCTCTGCTATTAACATATTTACATCACATGGTGGCAAGAGATCATGTACTGTTTTCTCTGTTTGTAGCATGATATACTGTGGACTATATCCTGCCTTTCTCTTGGCTGCCATGTCTGCAGCCTCATTTCCCCTAGCGATAGCTGTCCCTGCTTTATCATGGCCCTTACACTTAATGACTGCTACTTGTGCTGGCTTCATCAGAGCCTCCTGTAGCCTCTTCATATCTTTTTCGTGTTTAATGGGGGTTTTTGCTGCTGTTAAAAAACCAGATCTGATCCACTGTGTCATTTCCACATGGATTGCTCCTACAACATATGCAGAGTCTGTGTAGATGTTCACTCTCTTCCCTTCTGACCATTCTAGAGCTGCAATCATTGCCTGGAGCTCAGCCAACTGCGAGGACTCTTTCCCTGTCACCCTTTAGGTGAGGACTTCCTCAAACCCTGTTTCTGTCTGTCTCACCACTGCATATGCTGCTTTCAGTCCCTCAGTTGGATGCCTGAAACAGCATCCGTCTGTGAACAGTGTTTCCTCGGCGTTAGTCAGGGGCTTCGCCTGCAAATCTTCTCTCACCCTGGTGTCTTTCTGCACCTTTTCCTCACATCTGTGTGGCTCGCCCTCTCCCATGTTATCTGCCATGTTTACACCTTCATGTGTGAATGTTATGTGTGGTGCATTTAAGATCTTTTCCAGCCTCGTCTGTCTGAGTGATGTCATGGTAAATGCCGCTGAGTTTACATATGCCACTATGCTGTGCGTTGTTACTACAGTCAGTGCGTGTCCCATCGCTATTTTCTGCAAAATTTTTGCCACTCCTGCTGCATGTCGTGTGCACGGTGGGTGTCTATCCCCGTAAGGATATGCTTGCATACATCAGCACCTGTCTGCCTCCCCCTTTTTTCTGAAAAAGCACACCCGAGGTGGTGTGTGCCTTTTCAGAAACGTCAAGAACAAACGGTAGCTTGTAGTCGGGGATGGCTAGATCAGTAGCAGTAGAGAGTGCCTGTTTGAGGGAGATAAATGAGGTTTCAGCATCAGTGGTCCACACCAGGGGAGCAGTAAGATTGCGCATGCCCTGTGTGTTAACCATGGCATGCAAAGGATGGGTTAGTTCGCCATAAGAGGCC